GGGGGGGGGTACGTTTTGTGGCGGCGGTGTGTTCATACGTCACTGTTCATAGCTGCATATGCGAAAGCCAATCGGCGGGTTACTGCCGACATGTAGTGCTGTGTAGGTGATATGACTTCTCTCGGTGCGCACACACCAGCAGAGCTCTGATGGACGGCGCAGACCGGACAGGTAGATGATAGAGATGACGGTCTGCAGGCTGTGTGTCTGTGAGCGTTCTGATGACTGACTGACTGACTGATTGGTTGGCTACGTGTTGTGACGATCTCGCTTCCCTCCCCGCCTCCCTCAGTCGATCCAATCAATACAACTGTACACACACGAACGAGGTCACAGTGTCACAAATGACACGTCTACCTCGACACCCCCTCTGAAATACGACAAAACATACGCTCACGGCCATCCATCCACCCACCCATACACTCACACAGACACACACACCAGTTTGCGACACAGAAAGTGGCGTTGAGTTGCTGCACCAGCTCAGATGTCCTGAGTGCATCGGTCGGTCGTCTAGCTCTCAGCAATGCAGGCGAACGCTTTTGCAAAGACCACACTCGAGCTGGTGCAGCGGTCAAGTCCTCCTGGGGACAGCTCCCGGGCCATGAAGACCTCCTTTGGGTACTCGGTCTCAAATCGGGCGGCTGCATCCACAGAGAAGCCGAACCTCTGATAGTACTGAGGCGCCCCGACCACAAAGGCCGCCAGCCATTGGCCGTCTTGTTCCAGCTCGGCCAGGCCTTGCTTGATCAAAGCAGAGCCGAAGCCAGTGCCTTGGTGGGACCGCAGCACCGCCACGGGGGCCAATGTCACACACTGGAGGGGCTGCTGCAGGCGGGAGAACATGACGTGGCCAACGACCTCTCCGCTCTCATTGTTCTCATTGTTCTCATTGTCCTCGGCCACCAGAGCGACCACCACATCTCCGTCTTGGCGAAGTTGGTCCACCAGCTCACTCTCGCCGCTGTAGCCGTACTGGGAGCCGGCGAATGCAGTGGCCACGACTGCACGAATGGCGGTGAAGTCACTGGGCTGCTCTGGTCTTATCAGCATCATCCAGTCAAGTCAATGGCTTCCTGCAAGCACACGCGCTCCACATCGGACATGCTGAACCTTTGTCGTCGCTGCGGGCTGTCATCGTGTTTTACCTGGACTTCATCATTTCCTCAACCGCCGCATCCTTCCCACCAGATGTCAGTCTAAGCGTTTTTCGCATGCTAAGCTCGCAGGTTGGATCGCTCACAGATCCGCAGCTTTGTCGAAGCGTGGTTCGCTGTAGATCAGCAGGACATGGCGAGTTCTGAGCGAAGGTCGCAGGCCCCACTGGCCCCTCGAGCAACAACCACAGTCACCGAGCACAGACGAGAGCGCAGAGACCGGTGGCGCACGATGGACGACAGCAGGGGATGAGGGGCGTGTCAATCTGGTGTGTTCCTTGTCCCATCAGGGTGTACAACATGACTCTAGACCAGTTTCCTGCCTTGGAAGCCCTCTCCGAGTCGTTGTCCAAGCGTCAGGTCAGGAGGCTCAGCCTTGAAGTTTGCCGCTCCCCAGCCGATTCCGGGCTCCCTGTACAAATGGAGACCCCTCCCCTGACAAGCTGGCGGTGGCGCCCGCTGCTGGCCTTGGCACTGCGGCTGATGGATTCCATCGTAAGTGCACAGAGAGAGAGACGGGGGGGAGAGGAAGGAAAAGCCGTGCACCCATTTGAGCCCTTGCTGTGTATCTCGCGCATCCAGGCCGTGTTCAGGGGGTGGTCTACGAGACAGAAGGTGAGAAGCGGCCACCCACACGCCAAATACGACCACCGGCTGTCGTATATGTCGAGAGATACCTCCTGTCTGCTTTGGCTGCTTGTAGTTGAAATCCGACAAAGCGGCGGCGGTGAGCCTGTCGTCCATCCGACCACTGAGTTGCCTGCCTCTCTGCCTGACACACACACACGCGACATGACATAGTACCTTTCTTTGTGTGTGTTGCTTTAGCCCCTCGTTGAGGACATCAAGCTGGCGCGCAAGAGGGCGGCGATTGGTGTCCAAAGGAACTTCAAGAGGTGGCTCGTCCACAAACCCCTCAAGACCAGGGAGACGCACATCTATTTTTTGTGGCGCGGCGCGTGGAAAGGCGCAAACATTGAGCCAGGCCAAAGAGTCGAGGTAAGCGGAGAGACACACAGATGATGGGCATACATGTAATGAGGCAACTCCTCATGTGTCTGCGTGTGTGCAGATAAGCGGCGACTTCACGGCGCCCAACGTCTGGTCGGAATGGAAGCTCATGCGGTGGTGCCGTGTGCTAAGGTGAGTCACTCACCCATCTCTACAAATGAACATTCTCAACCTGTGTGTCTCTGCTTTGCTGTGCCCTCATGGCGTGCAGGGCGTATGTCTTCGAGTTGCCGTATGCCTCACCCGACGGCCGAGGGCCAGGCAACTACCATTTCAAGTTCACGGTGGACGGCAAAGAGACCGTCGACCGCCAGACCGTCGGCAGCGAAAAGAAGGAGGGAGAAATATGTATGTCGATCTGGACAGTCGACGGCAAGCGAATCTCGCGGCGGGTAAAAAGACATTACCTCGAGACCATCCGTGTCGCTACGAGAGACGCGGAGGGCCGCGAATGTAATGTCATATCTGTCCCCGAGCGAAGCTCGACTGCTGTCGCTCTGCCCCCATCGCAGTCTGCGAAGTCAACACTCTCAACAACGCTCTCAATGCAGTCGACCAGACCGTCACTGACGATGCAGCTGACCCAACCATCACTGACGGAGGACAACAGCCTCAACTACAGCTCTACGGCCCTCGTCACCTTATCCAAGGCGGCCATTGCCTTCTACAAAGCAGGGCATTTCTCATATCGACCACTGTGGGAGCCTCCTCCCCCTCATGAGTACGAGTGCATTGAGGCCAAATTCCCGGAATTGCAAATATGCGGAGTCAGAAATCACGGAAGCAGTAAGCCAAGTGGAATACGCCGCCTCACTCGAGAGACGAATTTCCTCCCTCTCTCCTTCTCTCTCTCTTTCTCTGTCTTCTCTCTCTCTCTCTCTCTGTGTGTGTGTGTGTGTGTGTGTTTGTTCAGTGTGTTACCTCAGCAGCTTTGTGCAGTGCCTGCGCCTGACGGACCTGTCCAGCAGCAATGTGCTCCATTTCAAGCTCGAGAAGAAGGGGGGGAAAAAGAGTCAGGAGGCGTTCAACCCGAATCTGCTGGACGCTGTCAAGACGCTCATCGCAGAATTCCTCATCACCGAACGGTACGCACCCCCCCCACACACACATGTCCCTCCATCCCTCCGTTGTTTGTGCAGATCGTACCTCGATCCGAGTGACATGCTCAAGACGCTTCCCGTGTTTTACGCCATCGGGCGGCAACAGGACGCCACTGAGGCCGGCAGATACATATTCGAGGCTCTTGGCGGACACGCAAAGGTACCGTTCTCCCCTTTCAGAGGCGTGTTTGGTGGTCGGGTGGTCACCAAGACAAAGTGCAAGGAGTGCGGCAGGATCAGCGAGAGGCCTGAGAAGATATATGACCTCGGACTAGCCGTCCCAACCGAAAAGGCATACAAGAAAATGTCGGAGAAAGGTGATCAGTACACACACACACACACACACACAGATGTACAGCGCAGTCTCCTGTCTCTCTGTCTCTCTGTCTCTCTGTCTCTCTGTTTGTGCGTCTGTGTGGCTGTATTTGTGTGACAAACAGGTCGCAAGCGTCTGTCGGTGCAGAAGTTGTTGGAGGACTGCATGAGAGTGGAGGAAATGAGTGGCAACAACGCCTATGCGTGCAGCAAGTGCCTCAAGAAGCAGCCGGCCACCAAGTGGCTGGAGATTCTCCACCCGCCCAAACACCTCTTCCTCTGCCTCAACCGCTTTGCCTGGGACAGGACCGACGGCCGCTCGAAGAAGCAGAAGACACCCGTCTTCATCGACAAGACACTTGTCCTTAATGACGGATTCCTCTACGACCTGTACGCCACCATCATCCACACGGTAAGTGACTGGACACACACAAACACACAGACAGAGTGAGTGCATCGTGTGTGTGATTGTCTGTCTACAGGGGCCGACCTCCACCTCAGGCCACTACTACACGATTGGCCGCCGGTCGGAGGGCAGCGCACAGCGCCACAACGAGTGGTACTGCTTCGACGACTCGCGAGTCACGCCCGTCCCTCACACCGTCATCGACAAGATCGCTTCGTCCACTGAGAAAGACGACAGGCCATATGTACTCTTCTACAGGTACGCACACTGCGAAAACACACAGAATGCACCATGGATGGATGTGACGTGACCGGCGCACTGTGCAGATGCCGAACGGCGTCCGTGTCTCCCGTGCCTGCAATTCCTCGGGGCCTCTACGACAAGGCAAGGGCCAAGGAGGAGGCAGCAATCAAGGAGATGACCGAGGCCGGCCGGCAGCAGCATGAGAAGGAGAAGCACGACAGGACTGAGGAGGCCAAGAAGGTAAGAGACGCCTTCTGCATCCATGTCGTCTGCGGATGACTGTGTGTGCTTGTGATCTGCAGCTCCGCCTCTCGCAAGAACAAGCGAGCGACGCCGAGCCTTCTCAAAGCCTCGACAACCCCCACGACATCGAAGACCGCGTGTACGAAGCCGCCATCCGACAGGCCATGCGGCGGGAGGCCATGCGGCGAGCGGACGTACCGCATGAGGGGCCGCTGAAGGGCTCGGTGGACTTTACCATCAACTACATGACAAGGGTGACTGAGTGGCTGGAGGATGAAGGCATGCATGGTCATCTCTCTCCTTTCTGCGTTCGTGTGTTTGTGTGTTTGTGTATTTCTGTGTGTGTGTGTGTGTGTGTGTGTGCGTGTGCGTTGGATACCCTCCAGCCGGGGCAGAATTTGTATATTGTGGGGTCCATCGAGGAACTTGGGGAGTGGGACCCGGCCCGGGCCGCCCCAATGAGGTGGACCCCGGGCCACAACTGGACGTGCTGCCTCGACCTCCCGCAAGGGCGTAAGAGACACAGAAGACCACAGGAAGAGAGAGAGAGAGAGAGAGATGTCTCCTCCTGTGCCGCGCCTGTCCATGTTCGTGTATGTGTGTGTGTTTTTTTCCATTTGTGTGTCTGTGCCGTCGATCCAGCCATTGAATACAAGTTTCTCGTCAAGGAGGGGGACGGGGTGGAGTGGGAGTTTGGGGGGAACCACAAGGTGGGCAGACAAGAGCAAGACGGACCACACACACACATACACAGACACATGGAGATTGAGACACGACCTCTTTCGTTGGTGTGTCTTCTTTGGTTGGTGAATGCAATGACTGCAGCTGGATGTCTTGGAGGAGGAAGACACAGAGCTGTTGGATTGGTGGGGGCAGGGCGGGGGCTGAGGGAGGAGAGGGGAGGGGAGGGGAGGGGGAGAGGGAGAGGGAGGAGGGCCCCTTCTCGACGCCGTCCGAGGTCGACCTGACGCTGCTGCCAGCCCGACATCGCGGCACCGGCATACGTGACCCTCTCAACCGAGCCGCGGCCGCATACCCCGCTTCCCACGCGAGCACCAAGGTGGTCTCCAAGTCCGTCCAAGGCAAGGCTCCGTTCCACCCTCACTCATCCGCCACCCCCTCACCCAGAACAACCAGCAGCAGGACTCCGCCTACAAGCCAAGAGAGAAGCCGCCCTGCCGCACATCGACCGCCGGCGCCATCGCGTCCTCTCCCGCAGCGCCGCATACAAGACGTCCGGCTGGCTGGCCATCTCTCTCTCTCTGCTTGTCTTCCTCGCTGACTGACTGACTGACTTTGTGCTTTTCTGTCTTTCTTTGCCTTGTGTTGTCAAGTTAGTGGCTGGCTATAGCTATTCGGTCTGTGTCTGTCGAGTGGATGCAGCCAGCGTTACACGACTGTTCGGCTGCTCTATGTCTGCCCCCATCTCTCTTGATCTCTCTCTCTGGCTGCCCGATACTGTGTGTCTGTCTGTCTGTCTGTCTGTCAGAGTGTGTGTCTATCTGTGTGTGGTCTGTCTTGCCGCGTGGGAGTGTGTGCGTTGCGGTGAATGAATTCCGACTGGCTGACTGGCTGGCTTGTGGAAACAAAAGCACTTATCAATACCTCTCTCCCACTCCCCTCGCCTCCCCAAGTCGGCTCAGCCGATTCAGACACTCAGAGAAAGGTCTTCTGCTGAAAAAGCGTCCCCATTTATCACACACATACACACAAACGTCATACTGACACACAAGGAGGCGCCAAACGACCACAGAATCGACACAGGAAGGTTGTCTGCAGTGATGCAGTGATTCACTGAATGTAATGCATTTGTACATCATTGATTGATTGATTCATTGCTTGACTGACAAGCACACACTCGTGTGACTCGACTGGCGCCACGTCACTGCAGAATGGCAAGGTGATCTCTTCGTTTCATGCAGCCGGCCGATCAAATCCCATTGCAAACTGACTATCGTGACACTCATGTGAGAACACAAAACAGTAGCAGTGTGACCATATAGTCACTATGTCCTTCTAACTCGTAAATTCCCTTCCTGTCCGACTCGGCTCTGGGTTGGTCTCTCGTCCATTTTGAAGAGAGATCTCGGAATCAGTTCTCGCCGCTTTCCAGTCCTCACATATTTCCTGCGTTTTCGCCGCCCATCCCACCACCCACACCCACAGCACCATGGTGCCGATAGCCGTAGTTTTGGCGCTTTTGGTGGGCCTTTGCGGGACCGTCCAGACGGCCAGTGACCAACCACAGACGGGCGGATGCATCGGTAGGCGCAGAAAAGCCCTTCACGTCGATGCACGTGTTAATCTGGTGCATTCCTGATCTTTGGTGCGAATGGACGTGTTTGTGTGTTTGTGTGCAGGGCGGGACGCATCGTGCCCGCTCTCTGAGGGGAAAAGCGCCTTCATCGAGAAACATGGTGGGCCAGATCTCCCAAAACAGCCATTGAAGGGTGGGTGGGTGGATGGATGGATGGATGTGTGTGTGTGTGATGGCTGTGATGGCTGCAGGTGGGTCTGTGTCGGCCGCCTCCCTGCAGACGGCACTTGGCGAGGCCAAGCGCATCGCCCAGGCCGCACACACGGTGAGCGGCAAGGCCCTCACGGCCGGCGACAAGGCCCTCACGGCGAGCGGCAAGGCCGTCACGGCACTCGATGCACTAACTACGACCATACTCAAGCAGACAGGACGCCCCGACACAGGTAGGTACACAAATGACACACGGGCGGTCGGGCGGGTACGATGGATGGATGGATGAATGGATCTCCTGCCTGCCTGCAGCGTCCGCCTCCCTGCAGGGGGGGCGGATCGGTGCGATGTGCGGTGTGGTCTTCAAGCCAGAGATGAAGTCCCATGAAACCTTGCTACACGACCAACAAGGGTATTATTTCACAGCGATGTCTACGCCATGCATGGCCTGAAGTACGCCTTCTTCTTCGACGTCGGCGGCGGGCCCGGCGGGCACCTCGCCAGCTGCAGCAAGAATGAAGGGTGTGTGATCGACGAAGTGGAGTTCGAGAACATCCGTGGTTCGGGGCACCCAGCTAATTCTCACGGCCTGGTGCGTGGGGGCCCATCAGTGTTGGTTGACAAGTTGCGTGCAAGTCTGTCTCTGTGTGTGTGTGTGTGCAGGGGACCTGCCAGGCCACGTGTGGGGACGGCCAGGTCTATAACTTGGAATTTGGCGGGGGAAAATTCTGCATTCGTCCCGGCACTGTCAGTACCCACGCACCCACACCCACACCCACACACGCACACACACAGTTTGTATTGCAGACACTGCAAGCGACCGATCCCCGTTGATGCGTTCCGACCCTCTCTCTCTCTCTCTCTCTCTGTGTGTGTGTGTGTGTGTGTGTGTAGATGATTATGCACGTCAATGCAGACGACAAGAGGATCTTCACGGACAAACCTGCCGAGCCCCTGGCTGTCAGCTACGGCTTTCACATGGCTAAGGGCGAGAAATACATGTACGACATCATATTCCCCGGCCACCAAAGTACCGACTGACGGACGCCCACAGATCCCCGCCGGCCATCCCCCCTTGTTTGCACGCCTCTCCCTTCTATTCTCTCTGTCTGTCTGTGTGTCTGTCTGTCTGTCGATCAGTGTACCAGTAGCACGCGCCACGGCTGAGAAGAACCAGCCAAGGACTGCAACACACCACACACCACACTGGCCACCGGATAGCCAAGGGGGTGAGCTCGTCTCTCTGTGTCCGTCCGGCCACTTCTCGCTCTCTTCCTTTCACAGCCTGACTTACTGACTTTGTGTTTTCTTTGTCCCTTTCCCTTTGTGAGTCTGCATGTGGTTTAAGGTTAGTGACCTCCTTCCTGCTTTCGAGGAGCTTGGCTGTCTGTGTGAGTGGGGGTGCTTTGAAGGCACACACACACACACGCACACGCATGGCCGGGGGGGCGAGTTCGTCACCAAAGGACCTGACAGCCCGACACACACAGCGGACTGCGTGGCATTCAACGAGCCCACGCGTGCACCACCAGCCATTAGGCTTCAATTAAGCACGGCAGCTGCCTCTCGACGCCCTTGCAATGGGAAAAAGCCTCCAAAGCGAAAGCATTAGGGCTTGGGGTGGAGGGTTTGCGAGCTTAGAGGTGCAGTGGCTCCGCGCTGCTCTCTGCAACCGGCTGATCTCCCCTTGTGTAAGCCTCTTTGAACACTCTGCAGCACCTACACACCGCTCCGCTTCTCAATTCAAGTGATGCCGCGCTGTTTGTGATGGCGGTATGGTCGTCTGCCGTCGCCGCCCGTGTGGCGTCTGTCGGTCTCCTGACCCTGGTGCTGCTGGTGCTGGGCGCCGTGAGCTACTGGGTCGTGCACGCAGCGACCTCCACAGACAGCGCTGCAACTGAGGACACTGGCAGGGATCGAGGCAAGCACAGGCGCACATCTCTGGATGCGTTGTGTCCATCGTGTTTTGAGTGTGTTGTCAGGTGGGCGTGCTCTTCTTCGTCGTGTGTCTGCGTCTGCTGCCGTGGTCAATGTCAGGGAAGATGGCACAGGTAGGTGGGCAGGCACACAGTCAGAGAAAGAGGGCAGGGCAGCAGCGGCACTCACTCATCCACTCGCTGTCCGCGCCTGTATCTGTATCTGTATTCGTCAGGTGCTGACACTCCAGTGCGTCGTTTGCAGAAGAGCCCGGGTGTGCAGATTACTCGGATAGCCAGAAGCAAAAGGTGAGGAGTACAATGGAGGGAGGGCAGAAGTGTGCACTTCAAGCTTCTTATGCGTGTGTTGGCACACCCGCAGTGGTCCTGTGTGCCGCCACACACACAGGCAGCAAAGCATCCCTCTCATCTGTCGTGCGCGTGTCTGTGTGTCAGGTTGTGCCCCGTCTTCTCTCGGCGTGTGGAGCTGTATCGTCGACACACCCACACACCCGGCACAACCATAGATGAAGGTGCCACTGAGCATGTAGAGGCAGAGGTGGAAGATTGAGCGCAGAGATCCATCTCACATGAGTTGATTGGAGTGCACCTTGGCCGTCCATTCATCCATGCGTGATGCCTGTATGTGCGTGTGTGTGTGTGTGAGTGTGTGCGACTGAGTGTCTCTTTTTGCGTGTAGTCCGTTCGTCTGCGCAAAGGGGCCGATGGACGGAGGCAGCGTATTCTGTGCTCCGTGTATATGTGTGTGTGTGCTGGTTTTCGTCTCAAGTCAGGTCACCCAGGTAGTTCGACCTTATGTAGGTTGCGTGATGTGATACCCTCAGCGAGTGTCGGCAGCTCTGTCTGTCGGTGCCGAAAAATCCACCTGGTTGGATGTTTTGGCTTTTTGTGCGTTGGCAAGGCGACAGAGATGAAGAGAATCAGATAAATGGACAGACTGAGTGAGTGAGTCTACACATGTGCTGTATTCTTTTCCTCTTGTTCCTTTTGTCTGCTGCCGTGTGTGTTGGTTGGCGTGTCGTTTGGTGAAGCGCCGGCACGTCACACACACTGATGGGCCGGTGGCTCATTGAGCAACGTGACAAGTGACGGACACGGGGAAGGAGAGCGATGGCGAGATGATGCATGAGCCGTGTTTGGTCCACACGCTTTGGCGCGGTGTTTGCTGTCTGCTTTGGTCGTACGTCGCCTTCTGCTGCTTGTACACCGAGGGGCATCCCTTCTCGATGAGCGACCGGCAGACACCGATGTGCGACCAAAGCAGACAGACAGCAGTGAGTCTGCTGACATGTGGTTGTTCGTCTGCGCGCGGTGGGTGCCATGGGTCACCGACAAAAACAGTGTATGATTAAACGACGGTGTAAGTAACTACATTCACGGTAATCATTCTGTTCAGTCGGCCTCCACACAGACATGCAGCTATGTAGAACATATAGAGGCAGACACATGCAGGGGGTGAGGGATATGATCGATGAGAAGCCCCTCCCCTCCCCTCTCAAACCGCCACGACAGGACGACAGGCCGACCCACACCGATACAAAAGCCACGCACAGCGCACAGACTCGTCCACTCAGAGCGCGACACACGCACACAAACATTAACGACATGCGATAGCTCCTTAGCTCAGCACCCGAGGCACAAAGTCAGACAGTGTCAACGAGGGACGAGCCCCAACTGGAGGCCGCCAGACAGACACCCACTGGATGAGAGTCATGACGATGGCATTAAGCCATCGGTGTCATGCCAGGAGTGAAACCGTCGTCATGGCAGCTCAACAAAAAATCGTCAGCAGGGCGTGGGAGAGACATGAAGTCTCTCTCGACCAGCAGCACGGCCCACAGGCAGCAGCACCAGCACACTCACGGCAGACAGAAAGGGCCACGGGCGGCAGACAGACACACACGCGACAAAGGCAGCGACAACAGACACACACACACACACAGTGAGAGATAAACCATCCCGACAACGGCAGGCACAAAGAGGCCCATCAGTGTGTGTGTGTGTGTCTGTGTGTGTGCTGTCTTCGGCTGCGCAGACGTCCATCAGTCTATTGCACAAACACAGCACCCACTCGTGTGTCGCCTCCAGCCAGCGACCAAATGACCGGCCCACCCACAAAAACTTCCGTCCACGAAGGCATCTTTGCGCAGCGATCATCAAGGCAGACAGACAGACACGCAAAGTCAGACAGAGAGACAGACACGCAAAGTCAGACAGACATTGAGAGAGAGCAACTCTTCCCTCCTCTGCCGACACAGCACGACCAACACCATTCAACACACACACACACAGCGAGAGAGACTGTGAGGCAGCCGCACAGACAAAAGTCACTCGCTCATCCACTCATTGCACACAGACAGACACACAGACAGACAGACAGCCAACACACACACACACACATCGCTCAACGTCGAGGCACTCAGTCAGACAGTCAACGAGTGAGGAGCCCCCGGCCACACACATGAATGAGTGTGGCACACACAGCCGCCCCCCGGTGTGTGTGGACTCTTTCCTACTCTATGCTGATCAACCGCAGCTGACGGTAGGGGCACCAAGAGTCGTCTGGCAGTTTGATTTGTCTGACTTCCCCCTCCCGCATCTCCAGAAACGCCCCACGCTGCCACGCACCCCAATCAGACATACGACCCACCCGCCCACGGACATCGTATGCTTTGACCCGGCCGTCGAAGTCATCCCGCCACCCAATCCAGTGTCTGTGTGGCTGAGCACTGAACACTCTCGTGTGTCGCCGCCAGCCAGCCAACCCGGTAGGATAAAGGCAGAACGGCACACAGACATTCCGAGACGCCCTCCCCTCTCAACGCAGCGCGACAGACATCATGAGAATGAACACACACACACACACACACAGAGAGAGAGAGAGAGAGACTGTGGGTGGCCGGCCGAACAACACTCTCACTCCTTTGCTCAAAGCCAGAGCACACAGCCACCAACTCAGCCAGGCAGCGAAAAAGGAGCTCTCGGCCACACACACAGCCGTCCCCCCGTGTGTGTGTGTGTGTGTGTGCAGTCTCTCCTACTCTATGCTGCTCAAGCGCAGCTGATTGTAGGGGACAACAAATCCGTCTGGCAGTTTGATTCGCCTCACTTCGCCCTCCCTTCGGCCTGATAAGAATGCGCCCTTCTTTATGTGTGCCCACACACCCCTGCCCTTGCACACGCTGGACAATTCACGACACATCCACGCATAGAGAGTCATATGGCTGACAAAAATCACAACGCATTTCCTCTTCGCCACTCAGATCTCAGACACACAGTCAGCCAGACACCGAGTGAAGAGCCCCCGGCCACACGCATGAGTGTGTGACACACACAGCTGCCCACTACTGTGTGTGTGTGTGCACTCTCTCTTACTCTATGCCGATCAACCGCAGCTGACGGTAGGGGGCACCAACGCCTCAGTTTGATTTGCCTGACTTCCCCCTCCCGCATCGACAGGATCGCTTCATCCAACCACTCATTCCGAAAATCAGACACACGATACACCAGCCCACGGTTATCGCAGTTTTTTTTCCTGGCCGTCGAATGCATCATTCCACCAAATCCAGTCGATCTCGACGGTGTCGTTGTCTGTGGGCACTCTGCCGGTGCCCTCCTGCACCACCTCATATCGATAGCCATACGATGGCGATGTGCCAGTCCGGCGGCCGACAGTGCTGCGATTGGCCGGCTGCCGCTGTGACGATGAGGAGCCCTCCTGCCGCTGACGGACTGTGGCACCACCACCATTGCCGCCGCCAGCCGCTGCTGCGCTGCACACAGAGAGCAGACACAACGCCAATCACGAGAGAGAGGTAAGGGCTGCTCACCTCAAGTAGCCTCCCCAGCCAGACGATGGCAGTGTGCCGGTCCGAGGCGCCACACTGAGAAGAACGGAACAAAGATGGCCAATTGGTGCATCTGCTGGCCCTGTTGGGCTTTACCTGGCCTGTGGTGTCGGTGTGTCGGTCTTGGCAATGCCGTACATGGCCGCATTGACGTCAAATGGCGCCTGATCCGTCTCGCTAGCCATCGTCAGCACCGCAGCCATGTCGGCGGGCGAGGCGCCGAGTCGCTTTCTGCGGTAGTAGTCGACCATGCGGCCGATGTGGTCGGGATCGACCACCTCCACCGCCCGGCTGCTGGACCACCTGACGGCACACAAACAGTGAGAAGCACATCAGTGTGTGTCGTTGTGTGTTGGTGTGATGGGCTCACAGGTCAAATCGATTGGCCAGTGCGATGTCGCCCATTTCGTCCACAGTGGACTGAGTGGTCGAGGTGAGCTGTCCGCACACCTCGACCGACCGAATGGCATCGCCGCCACTCAGAGGCAGCAGAAAGGGCTCGACGGCCTGACACACACAGCCACAACCATCAGACCAACAGACATTTCCCTCTCTCTCTGCTCATAATCATGTCGTCACCTGAATCTCTTTGTCGAGATTGTCGCGTCGTGTGTTGGCGGCCCGCAGCTGCCGCTCTAGCCGGGCCTTTTCCTTGGCAAAGGCTTTGACGATGGCCTCCATCGCCTTGAGGGCGGCGGCCGCCTCGGTGCGGCTGTTAGTCAGCGACCCGGTGGGCACTCCATCGGCGCGTGAAGAATCAGCGGCATCCTTGTCGAGAGGCGTCATCATCAGTTTGACCCAGAAGCCATGGCGACCTGCAACAGACACACCACACAGGCAGCCAAAGGAAGAATGACGACACAAGGAGACTGTGTCATCGCCTTCATTGCCCTCACCCTTGTCGCGCTTGGCCACTTCATCGAGCAGATGGCCGACCGACGCCGCCTTGCCGGCGCTGCGAAGGGTCTCCGCATTGAGGATGGCCTTGTGGACGGCCTTGAAGCCTCCGGGCAGATGTCGACGAACACCCGCTGGCTGTCGTCTTTGACGAGTCGGCCCTCCCAGCAGCCCCCGAAGAGGGCCGCCAGTAGAGTGCCCTCCACTCCCTCTCCCTGAGTCACGTGCTGCCGCCTGACGCTCATCAGATGGCCGCCCACATTCAGCAGCAAAGTGTCGTCAGGGGAGGCCGCCGAGGGGTCCGATGCGCCGTGCTGCTGCCTCTCTCGCTGGGCGTCCTCGTCAGCCTGGCGGATCTGTGTGTGCAGCTGGCTGATGGCGTCACCGATGGCCGTCACGGGCACGTGCAGCTCATTGAGAATCGCATGGGCGCTGAACCGCCGAGCGGCCAACTCGCCCTCCATCCACAGGGCAACAGATCTCTCTCAGAGGCAGTGCCTGAACCACACAGACAGACACAGACAGACAGACAGACCGATGTGAACGGATCTGCGCGTTTTTTGATTGCCATCGGTTCGCTTGTCCCACCTGAGGCTCTCCAAGGCGAAAGGACGTGCCGTCACCGTCTTCAAGTTGCGAGACTCTTCTTCGCGATCGGATTCTCTGCAGGAATACCGCTATTCGTTGCATCATTTGGCGCTTCGAGGACGTCCGGTGGGAGTGAGGAGAAGTAAGGGATCGAGGAAAAATTCAGATCATTCATCCCACCTTGTGTGGTCTGCGTGTGTGTCCTTCAAGGCGAGAGGCGGTCTCTCTGTGCGCGTGTGCGTGTGATGTGTGTGCCCGTGTGTTCGCCAAGCGGATTGGCGGCTCTTGGCAAACTTGAAGGCATCAGGTGAGTCACTCTCCCGACCCGTGATGGATGTGTTGTGCAGTTCCAAACTATCGGCAACAGATGCAGTTATGCCACGTGTTATGCCAGGCCGCCTGTGGCTTGGAGAAACGACGGCTTCCTTCTTGCCAGCTTCGCACCGAAGAGAGAAGGGAAGAGGGGTGAGCTCAGGGCCGAAGGGCGCGTCGATAGTGAGCTGCGTGGGCTGTTTGACCGACATAGGAAGTCGTTTTGGCAGATCACTCATCGGCCTCAACACAGTAGAGGTGAGCACCGCCGAAATGAAAGAGAAGATCTGATGCGACGCGATGCGTCACTGTGGATGGGCGGCGGCATGTCATGTGTGTGTGTGGGTGTAGGAGGGCCATGAGTGACCACCGTGGTGTCGGACTGCTGGACGGCCATTTCGTCTATGAGGACGGCAGTGACGGCTACGAAATGGACGTCAAGGGGCAGCGGGTGGCCATCAAGCCTTCGTTCCATTCGCACATCAAATTCTGCTTCGAACACCACGACGAGAGAGCGGCTGAGCCACACACAGGTGTGCTGCAGCCTGCCTTGTTGCCCTTTTGTGTGTCAGGCCATCTGGCGCTTCCAAGCGCCGCCGTCAGGACCAGCACAACGGGCCACCACCACCACCAGCAGTAGCAGCGGCAGGCATTCCTGACGGCTTCAGTGTGTCGCCATCTGGTGTGCGATATCGCATCTTCGTTCTCGGCACCGGCAGGATGCCAACTTTAGCCGACCAGACCATATACGTGGGTTTGTGTGTCGTGTGTGTGCGTGAATGCGAGAGCTGCGTGGGAAATGAGAGAGAGACAACACGATATCCCTAGCTGCCTTGCTGTTTCGTGTGTGCCCTCGTTTGCTGTTTATGTATGAACATTGATCGCCCTCCGGAGCCAGTGCATTCAGCTGGGCCGGTCAGCCAGGTCACTCAATCAATCAAGCTAACCACCACGTACGTACGTCCCTTCTGATCTGTGATGTGAGAGGTAGACGGAGAACAGTGTGTGTGTGCACGTGTGTGGGGGGAAGGGGGGGGGGGGGG